CCAAAATGTGTACCCAAGCATGGGTATCAGAGGGATAATGTGGGCCCGGTGTTATTTTTCCAATCCCTCTTTGCTAATACCTAAAACAACGCACGTAACTTCATGCACTTTTTCGGTTTCAGAAAGAGGTAACTGATGTGATAAAAGATATAGTACTTAAATGTATTTTTCAAATTTAGAGATGATTACTCGGTGACTTTCATTATTCAATTTTTTTCTTTTTCTTTTTTTTTTTTTTGGAGAGAAGGTGGCATATTGTTTAACTGTTATCTGTGTTTGTGAACCTAACTTATATGCTTTCTAATCATTGGGTTCTATGTAAGGGTGAAAGTATCCAATTCTTGAGCAGAGATTTCTGTACTGGGGTTGGTTTGGGTAAACATATCTAAACTGAATTGGTATTTGTGGTTGATTGTGAATATGACCTGAAGTCCATCCTGACTTTTACTTAATCAGATTCATCCTCGTTTTTAACCTGCATTTCAGCCTATCACTTTGCATAAGAGGGGGAATTTAGGGTTAGGGCAGTCTCTCTCTCCCATTGTGTGTTCTGTGTTCTATCAAGCATTTCTCTTTCTCTCACTCTCACAGGTTGTGTTCAGTCTCGTTCTCTCCCCCTCCCCCCTATCTCTCTCTGTGCAATGGCTCTGAGTCATCTATTCTCATGTAATTAATATTCTCTCTCAGCCATCTTCACTGTGCTGATCACCTCAGTAAAGTCTCCTACTACACATTGTTCTCGAGCATCTACCCACAGTTGCATACACCACAGAAAGTGGTGTGTTTTTAGCCTTTTTCTCTTAGAACCTCGATTATTTGTTTTTAATCATACAGCTTTGTACTCTTTATTGTATTGCTGGAACCTTTTTGGGATCTGCTGATTAGTTGTGTTGTTGATGCATTCTTTTTGAGTGGTCTCTGTTTGGGTATGCAATGGTTTGAAATGTAGATGCTTCAAGATGGTTTTTTAGGTCACCCTTTGTAATGTTTCATGCACGTGAATGGTGATAATTCCAAATAAATGGTACAGGTTAGTTTCAGTGAGTGTCTTGCTTCATGTTGAATGCTATGAGTTTATATGGCGAGCTAGAAGGATTGAAGGGATGATGAGGGATTTCTTATGGGGAGGGGTGAGGAAGGAAAGAAGGATCATTTGGTTTCTTGGGATGTTGTCACTAGCCCAAAAGCTAAGGGTGGGCTTTCCCTAGGGAATTTGGTAAAAAGAAATGAGGCTTGGTTGATAAATGGCGTTGTAGATTTCTATTTGAGCAAGGGTCATTGTGTCACACGATTATTAGGAGCAAATATGGGGTACATGCTATTGGGTGGGATGCTAGGGGTTTGAAGGGGATCTTCCGGATTCCATGGAAGTACATTTTTCAGGGACTACTAGCCTTTCTTAGAGGGTAAGTTTCATGGCGGGAGATGGGGTAAAGGTTCAATTTTGAGAGGATATTTGAGAGGGAGAGTCTTCATTTGTTTGCCTTTTTCCTCATCTCTATCATACTTCTTCTTGTCATGAGAAATGTATTGCATTGCATCTTTTCTTACATCTTATTCTTTCTGGTAACTTGGGATTTTGGTTTCTGTAAAAATCTTAATGACAGGGAACATTCTGAATTGGTGATACTTCTTACTATGCTCAATAATGTTACATTGTCCCAGAGTTCGTTGGATAAAAGCATTTGGATTAGTGATCCCTTGGGTGTCTTTTCTAGTAAATCTTACTTCGAATCACTAATTGATGACTCTTCACTACCATTATTTCATCCATCTTCCAATATTTGGAATGTTAGTGTTCCTCTAAAGGTGCACGTTTGTGGATGACTAATTACTCGTGGTAAGATTAAGAGTAAATTGTACCAATGGTCTCTGAGGTTTAACGTTTCTCGTACTTCAGTCCTTAAAGTTTTAAGTATGTCAATTTGATCCTCAAAGTTCACATATTGAGTAAATGTAGTTCTTCGTACTGTCGTTTAAATGATGGACGGAAAATTTCACGTGCCTGGCACATAGAAGTATTAAGGGACATTTTTGTCACAAGACTTTCAAAACACAGGGCACAAATGGAAAAGCAAGATAAGACCATCTGTGTGTGTGTGTGTTTTTGTGTAAGACTCCACAGCTGCTGGATATCTTCCACTGTTAAACTTCATCGCCACGAGCCACCCTTTAAACGCCTCTCTCTCTCTCATAGTGCCCTACAGAAAACAAAGTATAATCCTTAATCCCAATCGACAATCTCCACCAATGTGAAACTGCCACCTATAACCATTAGCAAACCGTATCCATCACTGAACCTTGCCACACCAAGCCAAACAGTGATCCACTGTGAAACATCTCAAACCCCATTTTCTCTCAATTTTGTTACTGATTTGTAAGATATTGTGAATAAGTTGGTTGCTTTATGGTCACTGCAGGTGGCTGTGGGTGTGGTTGTTTGGGGGGAGGGTGTGTGTTCATTGCAGATAAAGTGAATTGTAGAGAAGGAGAGAAACGTGTGTGATGTGCAGAGATAAAGAGACGAGCTGTAGTTTTGGGATTAATTTCACGTTTTGTGTTGAGAGGAGGAATAGAGATGTGCATGCAGGGTCACAAACTATGTTTTGGGTGTGTGTGAGAGAGAGAAAATAAGAAAAAAAGGCTAAGGAAGAAGAAGAAGAAGTGTGTTTGGGTTCTATGTATATTAGTGCCAAGGACTACATTTACTCAATATGTGAATTTTGAGTATCAAATTGATAGAATTAAAATTTGAAGGACTAAAGTACGTTAAATGTCAAACCTCGGGAACCATTGGTCCAATATACCCTAAAATTAATACTAATGATGTACTTCAAATAAATAGACCTAAGATTTGTCTTTCACCTCAGTGGTGTGTTATGTGTAGAGGGGATGGTGAGAGTCTGGATTATTTATTCTTGCATTGCCCTATGAGTATGACTCTATCATTATGGAATAAATTGTTTGTGTTGGTCTTTATTGGGTGGCTTTGAGATCTATATTATCTATGATTTGCTCGGTTCTTATGGGTTTGGAGGGAAGTAGAGGAGGAAAGATTTTTTGGCATTGAGCTTTCTTTGCAACAATTTGGGTTTTATGGAGGGAGAGAAATGCGAGAATCTTTGAAGATAAATGGTTGGAACTTGAGGGCTTATGGGACCAGCTTTACTTCTTGGCTTCTTTTTGGGCATTTGTGATAATGGCAAGTTGGATTGGATCATGCGGCTTGTAATGTGGTCCGTTGTCTAGTCTTTTTTTTTTTTTTTAAACTTTTGTTTTACTAATCATTTGGATGGACGACTTGTCCACCTTTGATTGGTTCTTGTACCGCTATTTTTATTTCGATTATTAATAAATTTGATGTTTCTTAACGAAAAAAATGAGTTTACATGGAGAGCATACAGGTTGAGGGTTCAAGGGCTCAACTAACTTGAGAATCTCATTGTTTAATTAGCGATAGTTCTACTTTTCTTTTTATCTACTCATAAATATTGTAGTTTTTCAAGCAAGATATTTGTTCTGATTTTCTGGCAAATATGCTGGTGCAGTGGACCCTCATGACACTTCTAGATCCGATTCATAGTGTGGAGAACCTGATATACATTGGATATGCTGGAGATCCTTCTTCTGCCATCCGTGTCACTCGGAGAAGACGTTTGGATCGCAAAAAGAGACAATCTGATAGAAATGTTTTCCACTGTTTTGTTTTTGGGCCAAAGGAGGCTGGAAAATCTGCATTATTGAATTCTTTTATTGGAAGGTGTTTCTTATGAACCTGCATGAAGACTCATTTAACTTGGTTCAATTTTGATCAAGATTGTGGTTGGTAAATTTTTAATTGTTATTGAGTCTATTGTATAATTCTTATATATTCAAATTGCAGGCCTTTCTCTGATGTCTATGATTCAACCACAGAAGATCGTTACACAGTTAATGTTGTAGATCAACCTGGGGTAAGTGCTTTGTGGACCTTAATAACTTGGTAGATCCTCTCTCTCTCTCTCTCCCCCAAAAAAAAAAAATAAAAAAAATCGAACACTTGGACAGGTACATGCATGGGAACATGATCTTATGAATAAAAATGATTAGGCTTGGCAAGGCATAAAACACATCCTGCCTTTCAATGTTACTTCCAGATTATAAATGCTTAAAACGAGAAAATATAATGGACAAAAAATAAAACGCAAAATGTTAATAAGCATGCATGGCATGACATAGTTCATCAAGTTGAGTGAAAATCTCTAAATGCCAATAAATAATAAAGAATGCTGCCAGTGACCTAAACGGTATATCTTTGTTCCAAAAAAAAAAAAAAAAAAAAAACCTAAACGGTATATCTGAATTATAAAAATCTTGTTGCTTGAGGCATAGACCTCGTGAACCAAGTCGTACAAGGACGCATAAAGCTCCTTTAATTAATGCTTTGGCTTGCATTGTGCATATTATTATGGACCTTGCTCAAGACAAAGGGCTTGAGTTGTTTTGGTAAGTTTTTCCTATGTGCTTGCTTCAGAAAAATTTTCGAAATATGATTTTTATTTTGATGTGTGATGTGATAGTGTCCTCTGGTCTTCGTGTGTGCTGTGTAAAGGGTTTCTCTTCATTCTTACTACTCACTGAAGTCCAAATTTAGATATCTAGACAATAGTGTCCCACTGTCCCTCATCTCTTATAAATCTTCTTAAAAATGCTTCCTGTTTTACGCCTTATCATAAGATTTTAAAATTTTTATTCTTAATATAATTTTTAAGATCTGCATGGTTTGGCTTCAACTACCAATAAATGACCCCCATTTTCGGGGGCACCTTTGTGCCGCTCTATCCTTGTCCTTTTTGGAGAACATGAGTAACAACCTTTAGTCATGTTTTTAAAGAAGAGATAAACATCGTGGTGCTCTATTGCAATTAAATCTCTGTATGTGATTTCTTTTTTGATAGAACTGTATGTATGTGATTTGTAGAGTGTACACATTCATTAGTGTTTTAATTATTCATGGATATGAGTACCATATGCAATCCCACCATAGAGGATACAAGGCACACTTAAATTTGTAAGGGTACTTTAAACCCTACTCCTTGCATGTGTATGGATCTGCCCGCTTGTTTATTTAGGGTGCGCTTGATAATGTTTTCGTTTTTATATTTTCTTTTTTATAAAAAAAACAGAACTAGTTTTTATTTTTTTTGAGATAAAAACTAAAAATATAAAACATGTTTGGTAGATATTTATATTTAAAAAATTATGAAAAAAAAAATAAAAGTATGTTAGGTATTATGGTTGTTTTGGTTAATTTTTTAATCATAAATAAGTTGCTCCTCAAAATATAATTGGGGTGCATCACCCAACAACCGAAAACGCGCCACCCTACACCCCCGAAAACCCACCACTAGCAGCCCCAAAAATCCACCACCCAAACCCACCAGCAGCCTTGAAAACCCACCACTTGCAGCCCCCAAAAACTAACCACCAAAACCTACTGGCCCTGAAAACCCACCACCCAAAACCCACCAGCACCAGCCCCAAAAATCCACCACCCAACCCAAAACCTTACTACACCTTAAAGCCTACCACCACCAACCCTGAAAATCCAAAAAAATACTAATTGAAGAGATCTGGAGAGAGAGATGTCGAATAGAGAATGGAGAGAGTTTTGCTAAAGTGAGATCGTCGGAGAGAGCTTCGGTATTGTAAGCTGCGCACGCGAGAGCCGTTCGACAGAGTCAGAGAGAAAAAAAGAGGATATATGAGGTCTTTATATATGTGCCAAAAAAAAATCTCTTGTTTGCTGTTAACAGAACTCGAAGGTTGGACCACATTAAAGTCCTTTCAACGCCTCTGCGTGTTTTCATTTTTTGGCTGTTTTCAAAAACATAATTTTGGATGTTTCCATATTTTGTCATTGTTTTCAAAACGGAGCAACAAAAAAAAAATTGAAAACATTCACCAAACGCACAAAAAATCCTAGTTCCCAAACGCAACCTTACTTATTCTTTTGGTTCATCTATTTCTGTGCGCGAGTGTTCCATGTGATAGTTGATACATAATGGTAGCTCCGGTGTAGACAATATGTGGCATTTACTCTTGGATGTTTGTTGTAAAGGGTTGAAAAGTGGATCGAATGACAAAATACTAGTGGTTTAAACTGTTCAGAACCAAGTTCCCACCTTTTTAGCACTCTTAAGATGTGAACGAAAAGTTGACATATGTAGAGTGCTTTCATAGTGTTATATAGACGTGGACTCGTTTTATGTTGACGTGTGTGCAACACACTAATCATACACACATGTTAGTTCCAGTATTTTTGTGTCATTGTAAAGCATTTCGAACCAAGAACCTAATTCAACTTGGGGTCTTCCGCCTATCACAAAAGAATAAAAACTCATGACAACTTCGATTTCAAGGCGTCAAGTATTTTCTCCTATGCATCAGAGACATTCTTTCAAGCATACACGTGCCTATACTACAAATCAATTAGAAACCTTTGGAAAATAATTCAGCTATGGTGCTTTTTAGGATTTAAAAATTGTAATGAGATTTTCACCATATCCATCAATCAAGTTCTCAGCCTAATCTGCATACCTTGAAATAGAGTTCCCAAGGGTTTGTTTGGTGAGATGGTTTGGAAAGAGAGAATTTAAAATTTGTCAAGAGTTGGGTTAGTGGGACATGGAAAATGATTAGGATAGAAACTTAATTTCTTGTTTTGGATAGATTTTCCCAAAAGTAATCAATTTTCCCCGTAAAAACAAATGAAAATGAAAATTTTCTCGAAAATAGTTATATATAGTTATGTTGGGAAAATAGGCTTTCCCACAAGTGTAAATCAATGGAAGCAATATAAATAAAATAACAGAAAATAAATAAGCACACAAGATTTACTTGGTTCCCTCAAATAACTTGAGGTACATCCACGACGACTGGTAGGTCAGTTTCTTCCACTATCACCAAATCAGATTACAAAGTGGCCAAAAGGCATAAGCCTTACAAACACACCAAGGTGTTAATCACAAGAGGAAAATACCTCACAAAATAAGTGAACCAAATCTCCAAGAACAAACCGCAAGAAACCCAAATATCAAGTGAAGTAATATTACTCACTTGAAGAACAAATTTGCAGATTTTTCTGTCACCAAAAAAGGAGAAGAAGAAGGCTGAATTTTTGTTGAACCAAAGACTGCCGAAAAAATGTCTTCTTGCCTAACCAACCGAGAAAAGATAAACCAAAGAAAAGGACAAAACTTATAGTCTTTGGTGGCTGCCAAATTCCTTTTTAACTAGAAGACTCCAAACCAAGTCTTGGATAAGAGTCCTACACGGGTAGGCCACCAAAAAATTAGCAAATTGATGAGTCCCACAAAGGAGGGAAACCCAACAATTCTCCCCCTCCGGACTTATGTGGAAGATTCGACCATTCCCGCCAAAAGTCGACACTTCTCATGCTTGTCCTTAGTCAATGCCTTAGTTAACATATCCGAAGTGTTATCATCAGTGTGAATTTTTTCAAGTTGTAACAACTTATCATTCAAGACATCACGAATCCAATGATATCTAACATCAATATGTTTCGATCTCGAATGAAATGAAGAATTCTTGCTCAAGTGGATTGCACTCTGACTATCACAATGAAGGACATACCTTTCTTGTTTCAAACCCAACTCTTGTAAGAATTCCTTCAACCACAATAATTCTTTGCAAGCTTCAGTGATGGCGATGAACTCAGCTTCTGTGGTGGAGAGAGCAACGCATTTCTGTAATCTTGATTGCCATGCCACTGCTCCCCCTGCAAAAGTAATCAAATAACCAGAAGTAGATTTTCGACTATCAACATCACCAGCCATATCAGAATCTGTGAACCCATCAAGAATAGGCTCGCCTTTACCAAAACACAAACTCATCTTTGAAGTGCCCTGAAGATACCTCATAATCCATTTCACTGCTGCCCAGCGTTCTTTCCCTGGATTAGACAAAAATCGACTGACAACCCCAACTGCGTGAGCAATATTCGGTCGAGTACAAACCATGGCGTACATCAAAGAACCAACTGCTGAAGCATAGAGAATTTTCTGCATCTCATTTCTCTTTTCATCACTTGTAGGACACTGACTTGAGCTTAGTTTGAAGTGGCCTGCAAGTGGACAATTAACAGGCTTTGCTTTGTCCATATTGAACCTCTCAAGAACCTTTTTAATATAATTCTCTTGAGATAACCAAATCAGCCCATGTGATCTGTCACGAACAATTCTCATCCCAAGAATTTGCTTTGCTGGACCCAAATCCTTCATGGCAAAGGACTTACTCAACTCTGACTTCAACTTGCTAATCTTACTCGTGTCTTGGCCCACAATAAGCATATCATCAACGTAAAGCAAGAGAATAATAAAATTACCATCTTTATATTTCTTCACAAACACACAATGGTCTGAAGTGGTTCTTGAATACCCATTCTCACTCATGAAAGCATCGAATTTTCTGTACCACTGCCTCGGTGCTTGCTTCAATCCATACAAGCTCTTCTTCAATTTGCAAACTAACTGATCATTACCCTTATCTTTGAAGCCCTCAGGTTGCTCCATATAAATTTCCTCTTCTAAGTCACCATGCAAAAATGCGGTCTTTACATCAAGCTGCTCAACTTCTAAATTCATACTCGCAGCTATACCAAGCACAGTTCGAATGGAGGACATCTTCACAACTGGTGAGAAGATCTCATCAAAATCAACTCCCTTTCTCTGATCAAAACCTTTCACGACAAGTCGTGCCTTGAATCTCGGTTGAGAACTGTTCCCATCATTCTTTCGTCTGAAGACCCATTTATTTTTCAAAATTTTCTTCCCTTTAGGCGGCTTCACCAAATCATAGGTGTGATTTTCATGCAAAGACTTCATTTCCTCTTTCATTGCCTTGAACCATTCAGTTTTGTTCTCATGCTTCAAGACTTCTTGATAAGTCCCTG